TTAAAGGTTTATGGTTTTTTTTTTTTTTTTTTTTTTTTTTTTTTTTTAATTAAATAATCAGGAACGACTGTTTTGCTAGAAATCAGGAACGACTTGGTGAACGAGAAAATTGTCTAAACCTGTCGAATCAATCAGTAGCTGGTTATGATTCAAGGGCTTAGCAACTACGCCATATAAAAAGCACATCAATAATTAACTGCACCAAGATTTCACTAATTTCGTAGGCCCGTGTAGCATTTGACTCATAACGTTCAAGATCAGGAACGACTGTTTTGCTAGAAATCAGGAACGACTTGGTGAACGAGAAAATTGTCTAAACCTGTCGAATCAATCAGTAGCTGGTTATGATTCAAGGGCTTAGCAACTACGCCATATAAAAAGCACATCAATAATTAACTGCACCAAGATTTCACTAATTTCGTAGGCCCGTGTAGCATTTGACTCATAACGTTCAAGAGTGTATTGATTCGAGTGCGTTTGGTTCAATGATTCATGTCATGGTTTGAATCATAATTCATGACTCGTTATAATGTTTTCTCTCACAAAAAATACGCGTAAATCGAGAATGATTATGAAGTTATCAATCAAAAGTTCCCGAATTGATTTCGATCAATATGAACTCGTTAGCATAATTAAGTGAATCATCTGAAATCCGTTTAAAGTTATTTGTTCCTCCAAAGTCGAGAGAGGGCAAGCCTTCCTCAAACTTCGAACGTTTAGATTATAAGTCGAAATAGAAACTGTTCTCCATAATTTTGTTTGTTTGTTACTTGGGATACAATATTCAAAATTGCATATTGGGTTCTCAAAAATCAGAACAGAGACGAAACATAAGATTGTGGGCTCAATATTGATCTCTATATGGTAAAAACCTTGAGCATCTAGTCACATAAGCCTACAACCGGACGTTCATCTGTATCAACTATCAACGAAAATTCCTACGACTCCATACAAAAAACATAGCTATACCAAATCACTGGCTAATACAACTAACTGGGGCATTGTGTAACAGCAGTATCTAAACCTTGCTCACTCCCTAAGACGACGATCCAACCATTGCGCTCACCTTCTTCGACAGGCCTTTTATCTCCTTCTGTAATTTCGACTTGATTGTGGGCGTCACTTCGCCTTCCGTATCTTCCAGCATTGAGGAAATCATCTCCAGTTTTTGCTTCACGAAGCCAAGGTCGGATTGCCCACTGCCATTTGCCGGCAACTTCGACGGCTTCTTTCGGGTCTTGACATTACTTTGGCTGGATATGTTACTCAGTTCTGGAGACTTGTACTCGCCCGAGTGGTACTGGAGACGAAAACTAACATCGGCAGAGACGAAAGGGCAGTCCTCCTTAGAATCATTGTAAGCTACATCCGCATCAGAGCTCTTAACAAAACAAACTCGAGCAAAGAAATTGTCGTAGAACATATCTGTTTCTTTTTCATCCAGTTTCCCGTATTTACTATAAATTCGGATAAGATCAGCCTTAGTGGGTAGCGCAGATCCTAGTCCGAATGTTGCAAAAAGGTAAGCAGGTGAATTTGTTTCCTCAACAGTCTTTTTGTCCAGTGTCTTCTCCTTCTTCTTCTTCTTAATCTCTGGAGTTGCAGTTTCTTGCTTTGATTTTCGCCTACCGGACGACTTTCCATCAAGAGTTTCGACTGCTCGCTTTTCTTTCTCCTTAGACACGCCTGAGTTTGGTTTGTTTTTGGGAGACTTTTCAGCAGGCTGCTTTGGATCTTCTACCTGGGACCCAGAAACAGAATCTAATGTTTTTCTCTTCCTACGAGATCGAGGTTTGTTGTATAGTTTGTAGTTGGACCCATTAAGGTAGACTGAGTTTCTGAATACAGACATAAAGTCAGAGACCATATCCAGAGGTTTCTTTCCCCTTGGGTTGGCAGCTGCAGACCGGACTTTAGAGAGAAATTCATTTGCTGGGACACTAGTTTTGGAAGGGTCAACAATGTTGTCCTGATTTTGGGTTGGGGCCTTCAGAACAGGACTTGAGCCGTGAGATGTCTCGTCAACCAGACCAGGTTCTGTAGAGACTTTTTTTGGAAGCATCTCGGACGAGCTACACTTCAAAAGTTGGGGAGAAACGATATTTTGGTCCCGAGATATGTCAACTTCTTCTCCTGCTGTGTCTTCAAAGGAAACTTTGACTTCATTCTCGGCGTCTCTTCTCCTTTTACTACTCACATTTGTGAAGGGAGGGGACAAGTACTTGCTCTTCTTTTTTTCCCTAACAGACGAGCTCTTTTCAAATTGTTCTTTGTCCACACCGTCATCACTCTTCAAGCTACGGTTTTCCGATTTCAAGTTTCCTGAACCAGAACCACCCCCAGCTTCATTTTTGCTCTCACCATCATCATTTTCGAAGTCCATCGCAGCATTTTGCTTAGGCCTTCCCTTTGAAGCAGAGCCCTCTTTAGTTTTCTCCTTTGCCCGACTCTCGTCTTTCTTAGCACTGCTGTCATTGCTGATACCAGCACGTTTCCTCTTCCCTTTTGGGGAGGTCAAACTGATCTCATCGTGATGATCCAATTCCCCTCTGGATTTCCTCCTCTTTGCTCCTGAAGACGGTGCTAATTTCTCCAAGTTTGTTTCTTTTATACCAATAAGATCAGCAATAGATCTCTCTTTTTTTTTTGGAGTTTTCCTACTTTCCGAAATCACGGGGTTACTTCGCAACCAAGATTCATCAGTCTGGACAGTACTAACATCTATTGCCATAGGAAGCCAGTCTTCAAATGGCCCTTGGGTTGGAGCTTCGATTGATTTCTCACCATCGTCTAGGCCATGAATTGGGTTGGGATCATGGTACTGAGGCAATTCATAACCCCCTTTTGCGCGATAAAAAGCAGACAGCCGACTCTTTAACACCCTGAGCTCAAGCGCATTGGTTACATAAACAGCCTGAGTAACACGTTTTAGCTCAGAAAGAAGCTCTGATGGCTCAATCAGAACATCTGTAAACTTCCTAATTTCACCCTCAGGCACAAGAGTCCCCTGCTTAATCCCTGCATTCTCCGCCACCAATTGATCAAGTCCTGTTCGGTTCTCTTTCGGTACACAAGAGCAAACCATCTTCAACTCCAAAACTCTACCAATCTCATCCACAGCCTCCTGCACAGCACTGACAAAAGTCTTCATGCTACTTTGCTTCAACATCTCCTCGTAGTTTTCCTCGAAAGGCTTTAGCTGAGATGGTTGGCACCAAGCGAAGGTTCCGTCACCAAAGTAAGCCACAAGATTTCGTCCTTTGGATTTAATTTTCAACGCATAATCCGACGCATATGAAGGATCATAAATCTGCCCAGGCCACCATGGATGGCTCTTAATTTTACCCCAAACGAAATCGCCCACACAAAACTTATCTCCTTCACCATCCAAGTCCTCTAATTGCACATCTTCACTTTCATTCACACCCCCAACAGAGGCCTCAGCTTTCCCAGAAGGACCATTCCCATTTTCATTCAAAGAAACGCCATTTTCTTCAAGCCCGTCCTTTTCACCAACCTTCCCTACTTCAACCCCATGTTTAGCCTCAACAAGACCATCTTTTTCAACATTTAAAGAACCCTCTTTTCCCGAAATCTCAGGCTCGCCCAAATCTTTATCCCCATTTTCATGTTTTCCGGACTCTGAATCAAGAGCTCCCATTAGGGTTTTCTCCGACGACGGAGCTAGAGTTTTTGATGATCCTGTCTCAACCGTTCCCATTTCCACAGAAAGATTACTGTCCCCAGAACAAGACTCAACTTCCACGCCTATTTCACAGCTGAAATGGATAAGATCAGAACACAAAACAAGAAAAAACAAGCAAGAAAAACAAGAGAGTGAAATATAAGTTCATATTACGGTTTTTCGTGTTCATACGAGCTCGAAAAATGGAATTTAATATAATAGTAGCATCTAGTTCCCACCATAAACTAAGAATAAAAGTATTAGAAAAGAAAAAAAATATTCGATCAAAGAAACTAACCAAAAAGCTAAAACACGACAGTTTACGATCAAAGAAAGACAAAATATGTATATACACAGATATCATGTATAGATATCATGTATATATATCATAATAAAGAAATATATACAAATATATGTATATCTACCTGAACAAACGGAGGCTAGGGTTTCCAAGTTCATATTTGTGCGTCCGAAGAACGGGATTCTTCAATAGTCAATACAAATAAAATTCCCACAGTAATCTGAATTTAGAGAGAGAAAGTGTGGAATCGAATTGTAAAGGAGAGAGAGAGAGCGAGAGAGAGAGAGAGAATCAAAATTTGAAATGGAGAGAGTGACAGAGAGAGACTGTGAATTTCTCGGAGTGGAAGATTTTAGAACTGAAAATATCGCGTGGGGAGACAAAAAAAAAAGGCGATAAATTGATCGGAAGGCGGTGGATAGGTCCGCTATTTTGGCTTCGTTGTCCTTATCAAAGCGGTCTTTCCACGTTGTTTGTACTATTGGCTCCAAACACATGGGACATCATCGTAAACTCGCGAAAATAAATTGACCGATACTCGCTTTTTGTAGCTGCCGCGTCGCCGGCTTGTGGTAATGGACGGTCGATAGTGGCGAGTATACGGAGTGTAATTTCGACGGTTATAGATTGTGTAAGGAAGAGTTGTAAAAAAGCGACTACGAGTCACGGAAAACGCACACGTGTCAATTTTGCTGACAAAGTGAGTCCCCCTGTAAAGGTATTAAGGTAAAGCGGCTAAAAGACTGCTCTTGCGTTTTATTATTGATGGAAAGCGGTGGAGTTATCAGTTATAGACCTTATGCTTAAAACGGCCGATATATCGAGGCCGCGACGAGTTCTCCGTTAAGACATAAGTAATGGGAGTTGGATTAACATGAGCATCTTAGGTGAAAGCCCTTGACAAAATTTACTCATAAAACACTCTATTTTAATCTTTAAATTAAATTTTTTTACTTGTCAGATTTGTCTAAATTCGTATTAAAAAGTTATAATACACCGCATTGAATTACTCTTTCTGTAAATTTGATTGTTAAAAAAATATAACGGTTAAAATTGAGTGTTTCATCAATAATTTTTTTTAGTAATTTTACTATAAAGAAAATCCAAAATTTTTTTGTTTTTGGATAAAATTTCATAAAAAGAAAATTGCATCTCAAACACTTTTTTTTTTTTTGGCATAATACACATTATGCTTTTAATTTTAATAATTTGTACCTAAATTTTAAATTAGTAGCAATTGAAGTTTAATAGCTAACGAGAGTTATCTAATGCGGAACACGTGATCCGCATATGAAAAACAAAATTCGTCATTATTTTGATAACAACTCGCTAATTAATGAATTTAAATTGCTACTAATTAGAAAGTTCATTGTGCAATTTAGTAAAATTGAACATTTGACCCTGAAACTTTAGTCACTTGTTGAGTTCACCACTTAAACTTTAAAAAGTGGTCTACAAGCCCTGTAAATTTTGAATTGTTAGCATATTCAACCTTTCCCTTTACTTAAGGAACAAAATTGCATAATAAGTTAGAGTAATGCTTGTTGTCCCTGTAAGGCTATATAGCTCCACCATCTCACAGAGGTGAATCTCATATGTGAGACTCACAGTCGTGATTAATATATTTAGGGTCTGTTCGTTTACATTTTTAAGTTATGGTGACTTGAGTGTAGATATTAAGTTGAATTTGAATTATAACTTGAGTTGAAGTTGTAACTTGAGTTTTTGTTTGGTTGTGTACATTTGAGTTATGATATTTGTGGCCATCTAGATCTTTATTTTAGAATATGATATTATCTACAATTGTTGATTAGAACTGCCTTGATAACTTCTTTCTCTCTTTTTACTTGCTCTAACATTTTTGGCTTTGACTGTTTGGTCTCATCTTGGCATATTTACTGCTCAGTCTTTAAAGCTGTCTTTGTTTCATTGGCTCATATTCTCTGTTTAAGGCAATATCATAGCATTACAGGTACTTTTACAAATTGCTGCTCATATTTTCTTCATATCCGTTATTAATATTGAATATATTATGTATTGTTTTGTGTTGTGTACTATAGTATTTAAAAAAATTTCTTTATGTTCTTATGATTGCCCTTTTGTTGTGTCTAATTTCTATTTTCTATTTATTTATTTCATAATCACATATGCATATATGTGTACCCATTTTTGCTTAGCATATTTAATCCTTAGCTTTGTATATGACAATGATGGTTATAATCAGATTTGGTCTCTTGACTTCTATACAATCAGTCCAAAAATTGTTGTCAAGAAATCCCCCTTACTCAAGATTTACCAAAAGGATTTAAATGTTTTTTTTCCTTTTTCCCTCATCATCATCTTCTTCTATAGTATCTGGCAATGATGATCATGATCAATTTTCAGCTGTTCAACTTTATCTAATCTGTTCAAAAATTATTGTGAACAAATCTATCTTATTTGGATTTCAATTTTCTCTTTTCTTTTGACTAAAACAATTTAAATGTTTCTCTATTTTTTTTGTCCCCATTTTTTTTCCCTCACGAAAATTCAAGGGCGTGACATTTCAAATGTCTATTTCCATTTGATTTAAATTCTATCTATTTCCATTTACTAAGTTCTTCCATATTATTTTCTTATGATTTTACAAATTTAATTTCCAATACACCAACAACATCACCTCCACTGTTTTGGTGTTCATTATTTTTTCCGATATACAACTCTTTATTCTTGGACGTTTGCTATTTTTGTTCTAACTATTTAAGCCAAGGTCTATTCCCCTACATGATATATTATGTTGTCTTTTTTTTTTCCGCTCCCCTTCTTAAGGCTTTCATTTTAATTCTCTTCTCTCTTTTTTTCCTCCTTCTCTTCCCACGCCATTTTTTCTCCCGTCTCTTTTCCCTTTATTCTATAAAAGCTTTCTTCAATGTTGTTCCTATGTATTTTTATATCTTATATTTCATTCTTTCCTATGTCATTAGCTTCCATTTTTCCAGCCACTTTTTTTCAAATGAGGCCTAAGCACAAATCAGTTATTTGCTGCCCTGATCCTGCCTTCCTTTACTGCTTTATCTAAGTAAAATGCATGACCATTGTGTATTCTTTACGCAGACAAAATCTGGTGCCTACTCTGCAGTAAAAATCTGATTAATTTTTATGCCTTTATGTAGTTGCCGTTAATTGGTAGCTATAAAATGGTCATAAAAATACAAGTCAATTGATTTGCCATACATTGTTGACAATATTTAATCTAATATCTGAACCACCATCACTATATAAAAATATTACCACATTCACAACTCATCAACATTTTCCCATTGAGCCTTCTTTATTACTTACTTATTTACTGTTGACATTAATCCGTTTTTTGCTTTTACCTTTTATGAAATTGATATAATCAGATGCTATCATAAGAAATCTTCTATCTGTCTGTTGATAGATGAAGCATGGAGTTGAAGATACGAAAATGCAGATATAAATTCTTTTATTTATCTATTTTTTGTTTATAGATTTAATTCGCATGCTATTCTTACATTATTCGTTTCATTTATCCATAATCATATTTTATATTGTAAATTATTATTTGTTGGTAACCGAATCGAATTCGGATGCAGAAGCGTGGGGGGAGGCGGATCGTGTATAACAAAAATTTTCATAAAACCTTTGAGATACTCTATAGATTATATTAATTTATGCACGAATAAATTAATCTCATTAATTCATTTATTAAGAACTCAATTAGAAAAAAATACCTGGAGGCCGACTCAGATGATAACTTGAGTTCTTTGACCTCGAACAATCCTTGCTCTAAAGCTTTGTGTTTAGAAAACCAATGTCTTCCACATCAATTCCTAGAATCCACGAAGACGTGTGTGTGGGCACACATGAGACAAAACGGGTTACAATAAACACGAATTTCGACAAACACCAACGCATGCATGATGTGGAATTTTTAGAGAAAAATTTTTCCTTCACTCTATAGAGAAATTTCGGCCACCTCTAAAATTAGAGCAAAAATTCATTTCAAAAATTGTCTTCCATTCTCTTATTTATAGAGTAGAAGTCAAACTTCTAAAAGGAATCCAATCTCTATCCCTAAGATAAAGCTTGTTAATTATCTCATATTTGAATTTTAAACAAAATCTCCTATTCCCTTATCCCTTAGTGTGGCCGGCCAAGATAGGGATTCTCATCCCTGTGTGGCACCAATATCAGATAGGGAAGGAAGAGAAAATCATCCTTTATCCTGTAGTCCAATTTT